TACAAATTTTTACAGTATAGTATAGTAAATGTATGTAGTTATGTTCCACCAGGAGGTGTGGGCAGGATAACAACCTTCCCACACCTCCTTCCCCTGCACCAAGCTAACACGTCCCTGACCAATCTCTTTAGTGAAGGCTCAGACTGATATCATCTTATCTCCCAGGAAGACAACAAAAATCCAACCAATCCAAAGCTCACATTACTGTAACACGTTACTAAACGATGCATTACTGCCCAACACTGGTTGAGACACTATGTACTTTAGTAATCAGGATTAGCACATTGGCTGCCTAGTCAAGTCCTCACCCCTTGAAATTTAGTATTATGTTAATAAGAGATGCAAAGTGGCAGTTTAAATCCTGTTCATATCTTCTTGGCACAACAGATCCGCACATGCAGTTTAGATAAGACTATGGCACGCGATACAGAAGAAGAGGAAACCTTCAGGGACATTTTGTCAAGTCTGAAACCAATACTCACATGCCCATATGTACATGGAAAGAGTTATTGGTCGCTGTGTTACTTTGCAACTGAGCCTCTAAAATGGAAACTGTTTAGGAGCTGATGAAGCTGCTGTGTTCTTAATTTGACCACCATGCATCTGTGACCACCATGTGTCTTTTTTGAAATTGGTATTATGAAGGTTCATAACCCCCCTAATCCACTGAGGAGTATGTAATCCTTGAATTAAAGGCATAGCATACAGTAAAATGATAACATAAAAAAGACAGACCATTATGTGAATGTTATTTCCATGGCTGCTGCTGTAATCAACCCCCAAATTATCCTTCTTCTTTTTCACAGGGTTATTTGAAGTAGATTTAATGGTCATTGTTTTGTTGAAATTGCATTAGAGTTAGTAGACATTATTTATCCGCACCACTTGTAAGCACTTCACTTATCTTTATATAGCTACATAATAATAATAATAAATAATAATAATAATAATAATAATAATAATACACATATATATGTGTGTGTGTGTGTGTGTGTGTGTGTATATTCATCTTCATATTAATTTATATATTTTTTCAGATATTCAACAATGTTACAAAGTGCTTCATAAAATATAGCTTGTGAAATAGTCAGATCCTAATATCTGCAGTTAAAAGATGATGATGAGCTGTGTGTTCTTCTCTTCTCTGTGAGCTCAGCAAGAGAAACTTTGCTCTTTTGGAAGAAAGTTTGCCAGAGACATGTCGCAGTGTGCAGACATACTTTTAAATATAGCTCTCCCACAGATATGTGTTGACAAGGCACAGGTTGCACCAGGTTAGACAAAGTCCTTACATTCTTTGAAAATCCAACAGTTTGCCTAGAGATGAGAATGATAATTACCTGCAAGGTGTCATAATAAACTGTTCTGACAATGAAAAAAAGGAAAGTAGAAGAAAAAGAAGAAGAACAAGCTCTGTTTGATGCAGATAATGTCTAATTTATATAGCAAAGAGCTGAGATGAAGACAACCTCAGTGTGTTGAAAGCAGCTGGTGGTAGCTCATGTAATGGCTTGCCTCCACAGGTGGTGATCTATAGGGACAAAGAAAGACACATTCAAATAGCAGGGCTGCCTGCGATTTTCAGACATTAGGAATTCATCGCTACATTGATTTCTTAATACCATATTCTTTTGTCATTGTTGTTTGTTTTTTAAAATGGATCATGAATACGTAATTGGCATGGGTGGAAGCAGGGTTGGAAAGAAATTACAAATCTGACAGGAGTCAATTTTGCATCAGATGTGTGCACTGGCCCGAGTTCCTCTGCACAGATAGAAATAATGAATTGATTTCATATACTGTCCCAGATCCCATCTCCAGAGCCATGTAGCGAAAGAGCGGCGTCATCTCTGTTCAATTTCAGTTCAAGTGGTTTTATTGGCATGACTACATGCACTATAATGTTGCCAAAGCATATTAGCACAAGCTATACGATCATTATAAACAGACATAAACAAAATAAACAATTCTTAATAATAAACATTCTTTCCAATGGACTATTGTTTTAAGAGAGAGAGTTTTAACATTTGTGGAGCTCTGCTTTCTACATGGCTCTCCATTCAGCTGGCAAACCAATAATTGCTGGTTGACTTTAAACACATTACAGGAGCGTCCACGCAGAAAAAACTTTACCTGACACCGAGAGGCTTAATCAGCATTGTGTGAACTCATTTGGAAAGAGCTTAAAACACCATATTTTTGTCATACTACACATTGCTGCAGCACCTGTTTTCACCTGTGTGTTGTACACTCTGTTTTAGCGACTGAGTGAAGCATCTCACTTCTTTTCGATCTTTGTTAGGAGCTGCACACAGTAAGATAAGGACTTCTAGCCAACCAGAAGCAGGACAGTGAGGTATATTTCTTTTATACATAATTTTTTAATTATGCACTGGTATCTCACATTCTGTAGGGACGGTGAGTGTGAGGGGAGGCAGCAGGTGGATGTCTTATCGCTGAAGGTGCGTTCGAGCTGCAGGGGTGTGGGGTATAAAAACGCTGCTCTCAATTCAGACACATTCTACTTTCTGTAGAGTGCATGAGCTTACTGTGAGCTGAGAACAATGAAATATGCTGCCAGATCAGGCAAAAGGTGGTTCCAACTTTGTGCAGCCAGAGAAAAGCAACTGCGGTCGCCAGACTCAGAAAACTGCAGCCGCCTTGCTCCCACAAGGTTTTAATGTCCTGTAACATGGTGACATTTTGCAGTGCCGGCTAAAGTTGGACAAAAATTTCTAACCAGCATGCATCACACGCTGCAAAGCGCCACAGGAAGCCAGACACACCTAACATGTGCTGCAGCTCAGTGTGTTTCTCCACCAGTATTTATTAGGTGCATTCGAGATGACAGCAGCTGACTTTTGCCGACTTGATAGCCTAATGTGTGCTGCAGGCAATTGCAGGGGTGGGGAATAAAAACAGCGCAGTCAAATCAGATACATTCTACCTGCGTGAGCTTACTGTGAGCTGAGATCAATGACTGATCTTTAACAAAGATAAAAATGCTATGATATCAGTTAAAAGGTGGTTCTAACTTTGTGCAGCCAGCTCCCGCAAGGATTTAATGTCATGTGACATGGTGACGCTTTGCAACGCGGGCGAAAGTCGGACACAATTTCTAACCAGCATGCCTTCTTTTAAGTCCAGCATGCATCACTTTAAGTCAGCTCTGCACAGCACCACATGAAGTCAAACGCACCTGTTTAGGGTGTGGCACACTAGCCGCTTGGCGAGCATTATAGCACGAGTTACAAAAAACAAAAAACAAATCTAAACTTAGTCTCAATTAAATAAAATAAAACAATGTTGAAAGAAAAGTAACGTTTTATTCACTGCTTTGTTCTCACTAACGCCATTCCCTCTCTTCATTTACTCTCTAGCTCTCTCGCTCAAACCAACAGTATATGTATTTTTTCTGTAGCTGGACATTTGCAGTCACTACATACAGCTGATTAACCAGGAAAGAGGACACAGCTCAAGAAAACAAAACAAAAATGAGCTTTAGCCTCTTCTCTGCTGCAGCCTTCCTTCTGTTCATCAGGATACTTTTCTTTTTACTCTGTAATGAATGTGACTTGAAATGTACAATGCTAGATAAATAATAGTACAGAAAAAAATAGTACACAAAAAATACTTTATTACAGTAACGAGAGGAAATGGAATTTGTTAATTCCACCCCTGGAATTTGCTGGCTACTTTTCACCCATAATTCTGTGTAATGTACCTGCTCTTAGGGTACAAAACAAATCTATCTGCATGCCATGAATGTTTACACATTAACAAAGTAATTGAGAATTTTATCAGACTACATTTGTAGAGGCCCTGTTACTGCTTTTCTACCCATTTTTCCAGGGAGTTTTGAACACGAAGAAAACAGGGTGTAATGGTGTTATGAATAACTAAAGGACGCTTGTGTAGTAGCAATATGACAAAGACATCTAACTGTTAACTACAGAAGGTAATGTAAGCATATTATTTCCATTCATTCACCTTCCTGTCGGTTTGTTTTATGTGTGGCCTCTCTTTACACCTGCATCCATTAATTTGCCCATTTAACAAGGACAGCATTGATTGAGAGAGGTGGTGAGAGGGCTGATTCGATTTCAGAGGACAGAATTGGATTTGATGGTGGAGCATAATAGCTTTCATGGGCTTTTACAGCACTGAATAGCTTAGCTGGAGCTGCCTTGATGGGACTGAGGTGTAATTCTGAGAAGCATCCCGGGGACGGCAGGAGCACAAACATCCTGTTCCTTATTGTCGCAGCCCGCAGAGCTCTCTGTGCTTTACCAAGAAGAGGCGAGCACAGGAAACCATGTGAGGCCGAGACCTACCTTCAAACTAAAAAATAAAACCAATATACAAAGTCACGCTCTCACAATCTCTGAGATCGGTGTTTCCAAAACTGTGCTTAGATCAATGAGCTGTCACGATGAACAATAGTCATGAACTAGGCCAGACTGAAAGAAAAAAAGGGGGGTAACCTGCTGTGAATTGTCGTTAAAGACGGTGGCATGTTGGCGGCAGCACAAAGGCTGTTTGTGTGGACCAAAACCCGGGCCGTGTGGCTGAGATAAGATGTATTCAGACTTCACAGCCGCAATTTGGGTAATCAGTCCCCTCCTAATTCCTCTCCACTTGGTCTGCTCTGATTTCATTCATCTGAAAATTGCTCTGAAGAGAACAGTTTTGCTCGAATGGGGACGAATTGTACTCTCTGTATACTTTGCCTTACAACAATATGTCAGCTTTTGATGAATGGGGAATTCAAAACATTGTCCACTGAGCAATCATTTTAAATTCACAAGCAGTTATACTGTTGTTAGTAAAACAAAATGCAAGTGAATACAAGAAAAAGTGTTTTTCACTGCTAAATTGTTTATCTACCTGAAAAGGATTGGTCCCTCCTTTGTTTCTGTCAGACTAGCTATTTCTCATTTCAGTATTGTTCAGCTTGAAGAGACGTGGGATGGTGAAGTAACGGAGGTGTTGGTTTGCAGGTGCCACGGGGGATGCTCAGCCTGACACCGTGCCCTCAGTGCAGGGCACCCTGCCGCACTTCATCCAGGAGCCGGAGGACGCCTACATCGTGAAGAGCAATCCCATTAAGCTGCGCTGCCGAGCCGCGCCCGCCTTACAGATCTTCTTCAAATGCAACGGAGAATGGGTGCACCAGAATGAGCACTTTTCCCAGGAGTATAAGGACCTCAACACTGGTGAGTTAAAGCTTTGTGGCCTTTTCCAGCTAGTGGTAAAATGTCATATGAGGGAAATATTTTGCAGCCATCAAGTGTGTAACAAAACAGCTGGAGTGGTCACAGCTAGTGTTGGACACCAGTAACTGAGATGGCGGTTGTTTCATTCTCACCAAGATGTTCTTCCTGTCCCCAGGCAGGATTACACCGACATGCTATGATTATGGTAATATAACTGGATCAACTACTCAGCAGCATTGGTTTCTTCCAATTACTTTTCAGGCTAAAATGGCAGATCACAGTCCAGTTGTGTGGGAAAAGATTTATTTATTTTTTTAACTAAATAATACTGAACAAACCGAGTGCAAAAATGTAACTGACAACGCAGGTGGCTCACCTGCTCACATTACGACTAAACATCCATCTCTGCTGTTCCTCAAACCACAGAAACAACACACTGAAACTGATGAATTCAATGGATTTTCCTTCCATGACTCTGCAGGTCAGCATTATTAAACATGGTCAAAGGCTTCCAAAGAAGCAGTTAAACAAATTACCATGATTTTCAAGCTGATGTCTCCATAACACAGAACTGAAAAATAAAAAAAGCCTGGATGAGAATGGCCTCCAGAAGATCAAATGTCTTGGTTGGACAAATACTGTCCAAACAGCACAGCTGGTCACAAAGTCCAATTTCCATAGCAATTGGTTAATGTTACTGCTTTACTCCCTGCAAAGTGATAAATTGAGGTAACATGAATACAATCCGAGTGAGTGGAAAAATGTAAACAGATGCACGTCCGCAGTGGGTAGAATGATTTGAGAAAAAGTCTCGTTTGCTTATGTTGCAATTACTGAGGGAACCTTTGTGGTTATTCTTCATATGACTCCATGGATGTAGAGGGTAAGAGCAGGAAGTAGAAAAAGAAAAACTGAAGTTCTTTGTAACTTTGGAAATCAATCTTTTTGAGCTGTCATTGGTTAAAAACATAAATTGCTCCTGTCTCGCTGCCTGCTGCTCATCCACTCAGGGAACCAACTTTCTTAACATTTATGAAGCACACGGAATAGTCATGTTTTTATGTCAGGAGATATCTTACAATATACCTAGCAGCCAAAAATTTCAAGAGTAGAAATTCATGGTTTAAAAATTGAAAATCAAATACTTAGTTTTTTTGACAGCTGCCAAGACGAATATAGCAATTTGCAGAACTCATACAGGTTTCAGAACTTTTAAAGGACATTTTTCATTATATATTTTTTTCATTTTATTAGTAATTGTTGAATTTTAAAAATGCTAGCGATGGGGAAAAAAATAGCCTTTCTCTCCATTCAATTATTCACTTGAATCCACTGAGGAAATAGTCTAATTATAACTTCTAACTAGAAGGAATACAAGACTGCAGGCATTGTTTCTACGTTAACGCCTACTTTTACCAACAAGGTGAGACATGAGGTTTATTTCTGCATTTCTTATGCAATAAGCATGTGCCATTTAGTATACATGGAGAGTGTATGAAAGCTCTCCTTCTTTATTTGATAGATATTTAGATTTTCTTCACTCGCTCAAAGTACAGGAAATATCTTTCATCCAACATGCAACATTTCCCTCTGCATGTAGATGGTTTCAGTTCATGACAACAGCTACTTAGACTGACCTTCAATAAGAATATCAGTGTGGCCTCAGATGGTTTAAGCCTAAAAGCCAACAAAGGCAGAGCAGCCTCAGTAATCATAGCTGGGTTGAGCAATATGTGCAGTATGTGCTTATTTTAAGCTCCTTGCAGTGCTAAATGGAGGGCTATACTGTACCACATCAGCAAAAAAATCCAGCTAGTTTCACATGAGTCTTCACTCACAGAAATGTATACGAGTGATTTTCAAAAGCTTTTCTGTTATGAACACATTCTCTGAAATAGTGTTACAGCAGTGGTTCCTCCTTGACTGCAGCTTTAAAAAAAAAAAAATGTAGTAAAAATGTGAGTTTATTGCACATTTGAATATGTCAGCTCTTAAATAACATTTTAAAGTTAATACTTAATTAAGAACAGCTACCTTGACTTCAGTGGTTCACCCTGCCTTTAAGAGCATACCTTGAAAACATTTCATTAGTGTGGGTGGAGTGTTTTATTATATTCTGGACTTCAATTTGGCATGAACATAGAAAATGCACTGACTACTCTAATACTTTTAACTGTAAAATATTTCTAAATATAAGTATTTCTTTAAAACATTAAATATTAATAAACTTAAAGTTAAGATTAAAGCATCCATAGTTATTTTTTAGGATTTTAAAACTGTCAGTCCAGCAACATAACAAGGCAAATTGTCATCATACTTTGATTCAAATGTTGCTGAACTCTTTTCACGTTTTTAACATCACCTTCATCCACTTGAGCGCCCCCCACTTCTAACAAGTGAAAAAAGCACAGGCAGAAATTTTATTTTCCCACCAAATAAAGTGTGTTTATGTGGGAGCCCGTCCATCATCATCATGTAAATCAGAGGTTCCCAACTGGTCCAGTTTGAGAGAACAGAGAGGAAGTGAATCGAGATTGCCCTGCCAAGACAAACAACATCAGTCATTTTTGTTCAAATGTATTAAACAACCAATTTATACTTTTACCTGACCTGGATCTCTTGTTGTGAACTGTAAACTCTTGCGGAGCAAAGTTGGAAGGAGCATGATGCTGTTAAAGCCCCATAATGTTGTTATGGCAAGTGCACAGAAATATGCACTTATGTCCAGAACACGAGACAATTGTGAACGTTCTCATGTGGTTTGTAGTGATGCATTTTGGTTTGTTTTGTTTTTTCTCTTTGTGAAAAGAAACTGAGGCAAGGGGAAAACGCTCCAAGTTTTACAAACTCATTAACTGATTTGGACCAGAGCAAACAAACTAAGCGGTGAAAACGCCCTTAGATGCAGGAGATCGCTGTAGGTTGCTGGTTTCCTACCAACAGTCGTTTGTGTCTTTCAACCATGACTGTGATCGTTCCCAGAAAAAGAAAAGAATTTCTGGCACAGTGCTTTCACTCTGAAGTCCTGTTTTAGAGATGAAAGGTAGCGCCAGACTACAAATTTATAACAGAAAGCCAGAGTTGTAAACTTGGGACGTGATGTTTAAAAGGCATGGGTATTAACCAGGCCGGGAGGTTCTAATGAGATGCTACCAAGTTGCATTATGCCAAATGTAGGATCTAGTCTTTTTGGTGATTGATTGATTGATAAAAGTCAGGTTATCTTGGCGTCTGCAGCACCAATTATTACCTTATTTTTAAGTCTGTATCTTTTGCGATCCCCAACTTTATGGAAGTGCAATACTAAGTCACCAGACTACCAATTTCAGTTTTGTTTTGCAGTATTAATAGAGTGCTACCATTACAAGCCAGTGTGACTTGAGCGTTTCTTTTCCTCTCTTTATCTGTCCTAGCAGAATACTTGCTTTATTAGCCTGTTGTTCCTGTTATTAGGCATATTAAATGTTATGTTTTATTAAAGGGTTTTTTAGAAGCCACAGTAAACCTGATTCAGCTCTCAATGCTGTTGCAATGCTTTTAATCATGGGTTTATTTTCCGTTTATTTTTATTATCATGTTTAAAAATTAAATTGAGCAGACATTAAGTAATTCTATGTTTGTGCCTTGACTTAGGCTAATCACTGAGGAGATATATCGAGCCTCAGGCTAGATCAGCTGGAAAACTTAAAATGATGTGTGATTACGGTTTCAACTAGGTCTACAGCCAATACATGTTCAGCTAATTCTGATTTGAGTTTCAGGTTGAGGCGATGATTTAAAGTGTGAGTGAAGCAGTGGCGTGCCATACCAATTAAGTCCCATTAGCTTTTGTCAGGTGGAAGCGTGTTGATTAGAGGACCTAACTGAGGCCTCCTGAAGGGATTTCTGGCAAACAACAAAGCCAATGTGACACCTCTGCTGGAATGCCTTGTGATTAGAGGCTGTGAGAAAGCAGTCTTTCTTGTATTCATGAAGGTCCCTCCACAGGAAAGAGGCTTTAATTGCTTCTCGAAGTTCATTATAGTGCGATTGCTGTGCTGTGAAATTGTTGTAAGCTTGATAATGGTAAAATGAAATTTGGAACTTCAATTGTTTGCTGTTCTGTGTGCAGAGGAAAAGTACAAGGGAAAGTTCACTTGGTGGTATTTGCCAGCTCACTTTATATGCCACATCAAGATCCAGCATCCAGCAGGAGGGAAGGTAATCAGTGGATTTTACAGATAGGAGTGAGAAACTGTACCAAAAGCCGGCTTTGCCTCAAGGCAACAACATGCAGCTGCAGTGTTAACAAACCACCAAAGTAAAATCTGAAATTGTAAAGTGAAACTTAAATAACAAATAACACACTTTTTTCTTACAAATTCAAAGTAGAATTTATAGAGTAAAATGCACCCTTGCTCAATTCAATGCTCACTTCTGCTGCCACAGCCTTCTTGATCTGGTATGACCACTAGCTTATGGTGGCTAATGTTAGTAAACTTTAAATATTGCATTGTGTGTAACTGACCTCACTAAAACAGTTTGCAAACTTTAAGCCTTTTCCCTACTTGTGCTGTTGAAAACCGCTGCCTGCTGCCGGATGAAATGACAATGATGAGAGCGACAAGACTGAACCAAAACAGTAAAGTTGCGGGCGGGAAAACGAAAACAATGAGCTGAAAAACACTTAAACACTCTGTAGAGTTGGTGATAAATTGTCTATGGGTTAATTACTAAGAGCAACCCCGTTGACAATACAGTCTTTTATTCCATAGTAAAAAAATATTGGTTCAAGCAGCTTTAAATGGTTGTTTAAATTAAATTGTTTAAATTGTTGTGTTTTCAATGGCATTTCAGTGGCAACAGTTTTTAAAGAAAACCATTTTAAACACATCCCGAGCTGCCAAAGTTCTCACCAGTTCAACAGGCAAGTCAATCTTTTAGTTCTGATTCTAATAATAGCAAAAATATTCACACAACCGAAAAAGCACATGCGCTTAATAATCTGATTATGTCCAATA